TTACAGCTGAAGCAAGACTTTGAGGCGGTGCGGCAGCTGGTGCAGTCGGAGGCGTGTGGCCTGTCGCCGGAGATCCAGCAGTCGGTGCTGGCGCTGCGCGTCTTCCAGCAGATGGACAACGCCATCATCTGCCTCCTGCAGCAGCCCAGCAACAAGGCCTGCCTGGCCTCCGCCACCTGGGAGTCCTTCCGCAAGTGCTGTGAGTGCCACGGGCCGGACGGGCTCTGCTGGAGCTGTTCCAGGTGCGCGATTGGCGTGCGCTGGGGGCCCAGCTCTGCCCTGCCTGGCGCCCCTGTGCCTGGCGAGGGGGGAGGCTGGCTGGTGCTGGGCCGGGGCCCCTTCTCCAAAGCAGCCTGCCTGCAGCCTCCCATCCTGGAGCTGCCTGGCTCGGCCCGGGGGAGCAGTAGGGTGGCGGGACCCTCGAGCGCCCCTTCGTCCCAGGTCCCCTCACGCCGACCTTTCCCCTCCTTGCCCAGGCTCTTACCACGGCAGCCAGCACAGCCTGGAGAGCCTGGACGTGCAGGCTTTGCGCAACAGCACCGCCCTGGAGAGCCAGAGCTCCGACCTCCTCGGCCAGCTGCAGGGCAGCGGCACGCCCGAGTCCTATCTGCCCAGCACCCAGCAGGCCTGGCTGGGGCTGCGGCTGCACGGCGCCCGGCGCTGGAAGGTGCTCGGCCTGCCCTGCACCAGGAGCTCCGAGCCCTGAGGGCCTGGGCTGGGTTCCTGAGGCTGGGAGGGGCTGGGCAGAGCGGTGGGAGGCAGGAAAGCCCATGGGCTTTGTGCTTAGAAATAGAGCGGCCAGGTGGCCTCAAAGCTGCATGGCTCCGTGGTTCTGTTCTGCCCTGGGCCTGGGCAGCCACGGCCCAGTCCCCTGCCCGGCTTCCTTGGGCTGCGGCCCGTGGGGCTAAGCGTCCCCATGCCATGGGCCTGTGCCAAGGCTCACTGGCTGTAGAGGCGGCCGGGTGGCCGTGTTTCCGTTTGCAGCTCTGGAGCAGGAACAGCCCTGGGCTGACGGCCGCAGCGGGCGAGTTGGCCAGGGCGCGGGCCTGGCGGCCGGGTGGCCGTGTTTCCGTTTGCAGCTCTGGAGCAGGAACAGCCCTGGGCTGACGGCCGCAGCGGGCGAGTTGGCCAGGGCGCGGGCCTGGCGGCCGGGTGGCCGTGTTTCCGTTTGCAGCTCTGGAGCAGGAACAGCCCTGGGCTGACGGCCGCAGCGGGCGAGTTGGCCAGGGCGCGGGCCTGGCGGCCGGGTGGCCGTGTTTCCGTTTGCAGCTCTGGAGCAGGAACAGCCCTGGGCTGACGGCCGCAGCGGGCGAGTTGGCCAGGGCGCGGGCCTGGCGGCCGGGTGGCCGTGTTTCCGTTTGCAGCTCTGGAGCAGGAACAGCCCTGGGCTGACGGCCGCAGCGGGCGAGTTGGCCAGGGCGCGGGCCTGGCGGCCGGGTGGCCGTGTTTCCGTTTGCAGCTCTGGAGCAGGAACAGCCCTGGGCTGACGGCCGCAGCGGGCGAGTTGGCCAGGGCGCGGGCCTGGCGGCCGGGTGGCCGTGTTTCCGTTTGCAGCTCTGGAGCAGGAACAGCCCTGGGCTGACGGCCGCAGCGGGCGAGTTGGCCAGGGCGCGGGCCTGGCGGCCGGGTGGCCGTGTTTCCGTTTGCAGCTCTGGAGCAGGAACAGCCCTGGGCTGACGGCCGCAGCGGGCGAGTTGGCCAGGGCGCGGGCCTGGCGGCCGGGTGGCCGTGTTTCCGTTTGCAGCTCTGGAGCAGGAACAGCCCTGGGCTGACGGCCGCAGCGGGCGAGTTGGCCAGGGCGCGGGCCTGGCGGCCGGGTGGCCGTGTTTCCGTTTGCAGCTCTGGAGCAGGAACAGCCCTGGGCTGACGGCCGCAGCGGGCGAGTTGGCCAGGGCGCGGGCCTGGCGGCCGGGTGGCCGTGTTTCCGTTTGCAGCTCTGGAGCAGGAACAGCCCTGGGCTGACGGCCGCAGCGGGCGAGTTGGCCAGGGCGCGGGCCTGGCGGCCGGGTGGCCGTGTTTCCGTTTGCAGCTCTGGAGCAGGAACAGCCCTGGGCTGACGGCCGCAGCGGGCGAGTTGGCCAGGGCGCGGGCCTGGCGGCCGGGTGGCCGTGTTTCCGTTTGCAGCTCTGGAGCAGGAACAGCCCTGGGCTGACGGCCGCAGCGGGCGAGTTGGCCAGGGCGCGGGCCTGGCGGCCGGGTGGCCGTGTTTCCGTTTGCAGCTCTGGAGCAGGAACAGCCCTGGGCTGACGGCCGCAGCGGGCGAGTTGGCCAGGGCGCGGGCCTGGCGGCCGGGTGGCCGTGTTTCCGTTTGCAGCTCTGGAGCAGGAACAGCCCTGGGCTGACGGCCGCAGCGGGCGAGTTGGCCAGGGCGCGGGCCTGGCGGCCGGGTGGCCGTGTTTCCGTTTGCAGCTCTGGAGCAGGAACAGCCCTGGGCTGACGGCCGCAGCGGGCGAGTTGGCCAGGGCGCGGGCCTGGCGGCCGGGTGGCCGTGTTTCCGTTTGCAGCTCTGGAGCAGGAACAGCCCTGGGCTGACGGCCGCAGCGGGCGAGTTGGCCAGGGCGCGGGCCTGGCGGCCGGGTGGCCGTGTTTCCGTTTGCAGCTCTGGAGCAGGAACAGCCCTGGGCTGACGGCCGCAGCGGGCGAGTTGGCCAGGGCGCGGGCCTGGCGGCCGGGTGGCCGTGTTTCCGTTTGCAGCTCTGGAGCAGGAACAGCCCTGGGCTGACGGCCGCAGCGGGCGAGTTGGCCAGGGCGCGGGCCTGGCGGCCGGGTGGCCGTGTTTCCGTTTGCAGCTCTGGAGCAGGAACAGCCCTGGGCTGACGGCCGCAGCGGGCGAGTTGGCCAGGGCGCGGGCCTGGCGGCCGGGTGGCCGTGTTTCCGTTTGCAGCTCTGGAGCAGGAACAGCCCTGGGCTGACGGCCGCAGCGGGCGAGTTGGCCAGGGCGCGGGCCTGGCGGCCGGGTGGCCGTGTTTCCGTTTGCAGCTCTGGAGCAGGAACAGCCCTGGGCTGACGGCCGCAGCGGGCGGGTTGGCCAGGGCGCGGGCCGGGCGGCC